AACCCGGTCTCTTATAAGAAAAAGAAACAGCACAGTATCCAAGGCTCCAGGGTAAAATCAGAAAGATGTTGAGAATGATGAATAAGCGTTGTCGTCCGGGTACTCACGTCCCAATAAGAACGGGGGCAATTCAATGCAATGTGAAATTCGCGTCAACAATCTGTTTTAATGTGAAATTCGGGATTGCTTTTCTGACAACCCACTAAATAAACGAAAGATCGCTTGATGGTTCCTCCTCTCCCATTGGAGTGTGGATGAAAAATATAATAGAAGTGAATTGGGATTAGAATGAGCTCCGCTGTTCGATAAACTCCTTTTGCATATCTTATGCCCTGTACCACAATCCATTTCCCAGAACAGCATCCTTTCCATTGAAGGCATAAATATCCACTTTGATTGCAACAAGTTATTACGATCACTATTTTAAGCTAAGCAAAGGGAACTGACTATATAGCCGGTAGTCGGTTCGTTTTAAATATATATAGAGCTTTATTAGGCTGACGTTACGCGGAATCGTCTTATTCAGAGCCTGAAAAAATCATAACGATTTGTGACTCTCTGATCAAACGTCTCCACCAACCCAATAACGTCCGAGACCCCCAGGGCATGCAGGTAATTGAAAGGAGAACCATTCACCGTAGCATTGTGGGTTCTTTGAAACTATCCAGCAGGTGAAGGTACAACCGACCAGTGCCAGCAAGGCTATGTCCTCATTCAAGGTCTCTGCGGCCCTACGACTCCCGTGCCACGACCACCACTGTGACCTCAAACCCGTTATACTTTTAAATTCGGTGGCTCTCTGAGACAGTAAACTCTTTCAATCGCCTCATACCATCTATGCACTCCTTGACCCTCAGGTGGATTAGTCTTGCGGTTTCGTCAATATACCCACCACCACAATCACGACAAGCAATTTTGTAAACCACTGCAGACATATTATTACAATCACACTCCCCTCCAACTGGACAGACCACACAATTTGATTGTACATAGGCGATTGTATAGCCTGTTCCGAATATTTCGAAGAGACGCTTCTTTAGACTGAAGGGGGTACTTACAATAGCAACTGAAGTTTCTAAGCCGGTATCTTTAGACAATTTCTAACGCAGGCCCTGCCTTCATCTGAAATGAAAGGTCTCCTTCAATATCTGAGGATCATACCGCTAGAAAAAGCTCTGCGTGTAGTTGAAAAATTGTATTAGCCATTCGACCAAGCTATATCGTGTGCCATTTTAAGCGACTTTCTCGCTCATCCTCTCCAGTGCAGTGCGGAAATACTGCTTACAACCGCTCATTTCATGTAGAAAGGATGAGCTGAGCTATAATGGGCAACGATATTTCTATTGCTGGGCTTTCTGTACTACTTCGTAACAACCGCAACGTCTTGTAAGTTTTGCACTGGAGAAGCTGAGCGCAAGGAGTGACTTATATTAACGCGCGATATAGCTTGGTAGAATGGCGACCCAATGTTCCAACTACACGTAGAGCTTTCTGGCGGTGTGACCTCAGACGTGGTAGCGCCTCGGTTGGAGGAAAGATTCCTTTTGTACTACCATTCACTTCTGATGAGGTCAGTGCCACTATTACTAAGTGTCTAAAGAGATCGGACATGGAAAATACGGTTGCTATTGTTAATGTACTATCATTCAATCTAAAGTAGCGCCTGGTTCGGAACAGGCTATGCGATCGCCTATGTACAACCTCAAACTGTGTGGTTTGTCCAGGCGGAAGGGAAGTTGATTGTAACATGCCTGGAGTAGTCTACTGAATTACTTGCCGGTATTGTGTTGATGAGCATATTGGCGAAACGGCAAGACTACTCCACGAGAGGTTTAAGGAGCACAGATGGTATGAGGTGATTGAAAGAGTCTACCTCCTGCGGTAGTTACCGAATTCAAAAGCATAACGAAGGCGTTTTCCGGTCACCGTGGAGGTCGAGGCACAGGAGTCGTAGGGCCGCAGAGACCTTGAATGAGGACATAGTCCTGCTGGCACTGGTCAGTTGGTACCATCACCTGCTGGGTGGTTTCGAAGAACCCACAATGTTACGGTGAGTTCTCCTTTCAATTACCTGCGTGCCGTTGAGGTCTCGAACTTTGATCAAATAGCCACAGGTCGTTATGATCCTCTCAGGCTCTGAAGAAAGTGATTCCGCCGAAACGTTAGCCTGGTCAAGCTTATTTAAAAACCTCGTGAAAAGTTCAAGAAAGCAATAACCTCAGTATATGACTTTGTTGCTCAAAGGTTTGGAAATAATCGAAAGGCTTCATTTTCCTAAGCGAAGCAACAAGCATGTCGGTCACAATACTCTTCTTAGCTTTCTGCATGTGATTGGTGGATTGCTCAACAATCAAGTGGAAATCGCTCATAAAATGTAGGCGCTGAAATCAACCTGTACACTGATTCGAAATTGAGCAACCTGAGACCGACCCCGCTGTTTTCGTGTATCAGTATTTCTCCATTAAGACACCTTCTCGGAGAATTTGTTCGATCCGGACTGTGTTCTTAACAACGAACTCACTGAAAATGGTTCCAACCACTATGAATCTTGTATACAAAATATGCGTTTGACATAACCTCATGTTAGGTGATCCTCATTAGCAGTCACCCGCCGTTTTAATTCAAATGAAAGGGGTGTTCTGGGCAGTTCTAGTTATCTTTCTGTGTGTTGTTTCGAAGAATCTGTGTAGAGAAACTGATATTTATAAAGCAGAGAAGAGGTCCACAAGAGGAAATGATAAATGTGAACCACGTTCGAATCTCTAAACAGAAACACCTCATGAAAATCTAACCATTAGCAATGACTTGACAAAAATCGCTTTTGAACCTTTTTCCACAGTACTATGATAAAGAAAGAATAGCAATGGTTCTAATAGAGTAGATGAAAATAATTCTGAAAAGTAGACCAGTAAACACTAGTGTAATCGAATGTTTACGAACCTGAGAAGTATGACCATGTCTATTCGAAAAACCTGAACTACGGTTATTTAACCGAAACCAAACGAGAGATTGTTCGCCACTTTCTATGTAGTTACAACAGTGATATTGAAAAAGCAAAGACACAAAAAAAAAGATTTACGCTGTCAGGTTGTACAGCAACTTGAATCTTCAAGCTAACTCTCCATCGGTAAGGGAACGAGCGCAGGTGAGGGCACAGTATAGGCCGAAGGTTCGAGTGATGGAACTCTCGCGGTGCTTCTCTTTAACTGATACGCATGTTTATGTTTCCCACCTTTTTGGTGCACAGTCGTTATGGAAGATTTGCTATTTAATTGGTTGCAATTTCGAACAAATCTTCGTCTTCACCTGAAACCTGAAAGCCACAAGGACCTGAAAGCAGTTCGGAGCTCTTGATCTGTGGTTCACCTGAACAAATTACATAAAACAAAGCAAGTAAGTAGTTAGTAACAAATAAAATAATTCTAAAAAAATCATTTATTAATTACTTATAGCTGGTATTAATTATAAGTAATTAATGAATGATTATTTATAATTTCCAGTATAAAGCGTTTCATTTATACTGGGGTTACTGGCACTTGGTCGGGTGAGCCACAGATCAGGAGCTCCGAACAGCTTTCAAATCCCTGAAGACGACAATTTGTTCGAACGTCGATCAATCAAAACGGTTTCTACCATAAACAAACCTGTACAGCAAAACAGTGGAAAACATTATGCAACATGTCGAGGTTCCAGGAAGACCGAGCGTACCATGGACTTCTTTTCATGATCTTTTTCAATTGAATCAAAAATTATTATATTCGCTTCGTCTTGGGGTACAAATGGTCAGCACATGAAAGCATTGTAGAATCGTGACCATTAGAATACAATAGCTTTATGAAACTTAGTGTTCTACTTATCACCTTGCCGGTGTTCGGAACAGAGCCACTGCTAAATCAACTTCCTTTCCAGCTTTGGAAATTTTCAGAACTATCAGAAAATTTTCTTCAAAAAAATCCCCAAAACCTCAATATTTTCAAAAAAAATCAAAACGAGCCATTCAGGACTATCCAAGAGGTTCAAGTTATGGCACCAACAAGGCGAAATTCCGAATATCAGCACATTATATTGAAATATGCTAAGCGTACACCTATATTTCACTAGGTATGTAAAAACAGTCGACTTACAAAGAAAATATAAAAAAGGAGGAATTAGAATGCCTCAAAATAAAACCATTATGAAAGCACGCTGGGTCTCGGTCTCCAACGAATAACGGTTACGACGGACTGTCGTTTTCGGGTTAGTTTAAGACGCGAGTAAGATCAAGGGGCTATGATAGTCGATTTAAAGTGCTGGATTCAACTGAGAAAAACTCCAAAAAGAAGTCGAAGAAAAAAATCAGCTGAAGGAGCAGTCAGCTGATGGTGCCCACGTTTTTAGATGCCTGCACTTGATGAGCCATAAGGGGTGAGCTATATGAAGGGGTTTTCATTATTATGGTCAGAGAGGTGAACTTGAGGTCTGTTTAATAAAAAAGAAAAAAATCACAGGACTTAACGGTGAAAAATGAGCAATAACAAAGTCGAAGTAACAGCACCCTCAGAAAGCATTCCGTCAGCAGGGTAGAAAACAAAAATGTGTGTAAGGTTACTGTAGTTGGTGCCTTACGCAATTGCGCACGGTGCACATCACGAAACGCAATTTAATTTACATAAATGATGAGGCTTGTTTGTCAACTCCATCTGAACTTGTTTTTTCTTTTACCTGAGGTGGAGTTCTCGTAGTTTTCTGAGTGAACTATTGCCGTAGTGTAATGGAGCCAACAGCAAAAGTTCTCGGAAAAGTGGGTCTACAACTTTGTGATATTGATTTGCTGGTATGGTATTGCTTGATTTTAGTCCATTGGGTTGTTTTCTGTTAATTTAATGGGGGCTTGCGGGGAAATTGATGTGTTATTTATGTTACTTGTTTGATGTTCTCTTGTTACCAGGCAAATGCGAGAAAAAGTAGTTCATGTTGAGAGCCCATTACACTTCCTCTCAGGCCGCTGTTCAGGAGGACTAATGAAGCTTCATGTTTGGCCGGCAGATTTCGGTCTACCAACCATCGACGTAAAATGCCTTCAGTTCCTGGTAAGACCGACGTTCGATTAGTTCTTTATTTATTTCCTCTATCAACATGTTTTCAGGCATGTTCAAAGATGTGTGCCAGTCCAGTCTCAGTGGTTTATTCCTGCAGTCCCTGGAGCTCGCCTACTGGTACGTTTTCAATGATCCATTTTACAGCATTGCATGCTCATATATACATTTAGCTTAGCCAAATGGAGTGTGATTTCCCTAGGGGACCGTAAACTTTCCTTTGCGAAGAGATAGGTTTCTTGAAGCAGTCAAGGGTAGAGGCATGCTTGGTGCCTCTAGGAGCCAAAAGTTCAAGTTTCACAGCCTAAAATCACAAAGGAAGTTATATGTCTCTATGGCATTTAAGATATTGACTGAGATTGCTGAATTGATGAATCAAGGTTCCTCCTTATAATATTTCAACCATTGGCAGCTCCTTAGAAATTTCATGTGCAACGCCTCGAACCAACCTAAAGCTCCACTGTAGAGCAGGCTCTATATTTATATTCTTGAAATCGCAAGTAGTACTTTCCCCATTCCCCTGCTTTTGTGCACTTTAAGCGCCTTGCAACGAAAGAATTGCTGAGATTTATATAGTTTTAAGAGGTTTTATAGCGTGTTGTTGTTCGCTTCTCATGTCTACCTTATGTAGCGTATAAACAAATAAACAAATAAACCACTGATCCTGTTAGCAACAGAAACAGAGCCACTGAAGAATTTGCCAGTGCTATGACCACACCAATTCGTTTGGTGTCCACTTCGTTGAGGTAGGGCTTGACACCTTCCTCATCATCTGGGGCCTTTGCTTCTTTCGAGTGCGTCTCCTGAAAGCAGGACACATCGATGGTCTGTCCGCTCCTTCTAATCAAAAACTTCTCTGAACTTCTAAGTAAGCCATCTAACGTTTACAGTCCCAATTCGAACTAACTTCTTTGGTCGAGAGTGGTTGCAGTCCTCGCCTACTGTCCAGAGAACTAAGGAGGAAATCCTGCTCACCATTTCCGTATGACCACCTGACCTTATCACTCTATTCTGGAAGGTTTTGTTGTGCTCTTCTTCTTACGAAGCTTGCCCAAGCCTTTTTCTTTCAATGAGCAAAAACTTGTGCTTTGCTATACTTAAGTTTTCCGAGCTAAATCTTCATTTTTCAGGAGAGTATCCCATTCTTTTCGACAAATCAAACCAGTCAAAAGCGATCACCGATTTTGACAGGTGTAGTGTTTTTTTTTTCATAAAGGATTTTATTTCTCTAAACGTGTCTTTTGTTTTCATCTTGTGATCTACGTACTTTAGATTTGTCGATATGTTGAGGAAAAGTGGTCAGGAGGTAGTGATCGATGCGGAATTGACGCCTGCTGAACGTTCGCAAATAGATGCATTTAGTTGTTTTCTGAAAGAGTTCATATATCCAGCTGTGGCAAGCTTTTTATAGTTTTTAAGATTTATTTCTTCAGATGAAGAAGTTGTTTACGCGAGCAGTTTGTGTAACAAACACCCCATTCGAATGATTTCCATGCTTTCAGACCTTGCTAGAATTAAGCCTTTTCAG